AGCAGGCTTCGTCTTCCGGAGGCACAGCATCCCCAGCGGCCGCTCTGCAGATGGGCCACAGAATGCGGGGCTGGAGGCTCTATGGGGTGTTTTCTGTGTTTCTGAATAAAGGAAACTGTATTCCCCACCACACCACACAGCCCGGTGAAGGGGCTCTCGATTGCAGGGTGGGCAGAAAACTTCCCTGCAGCAACGTGGGATGAGCCGGCGCTGGGGCAATAGGGGATTGACTCCATGGACAAAGCCAGTGGAGTGCTCCTCCCTCACCCACTGCAAGGAGAAGCAGCCAAGCAGCCAACCAAACCTATTCTAGGAGGGCTTTGTCCAGCCAGCATGGTGGGGCCAATAACAAGTGAATGTAGCATTGGACCCAAGGATGGCCACGACAGCCATCGAGATCAACACCCATCAGTATGCGATGCCAGGCCAAAAGCACCCAAACCACTTTGCATACATACCCAAGAGCCCCCACATCCTGCCCACAGGAGCTTTCTCTCCCTTTCTTACCAAGGAAAGCCACATCTGGTCCTTGATGGCCATGGTGTCCCCTGGATGTGCCAAGCGGGGAGGGCAGAGCTCCTCAGAGTGCTGCAGTGAGACTTCATGGGGATCCCACAGCGCTGAGCACTGCCATGTGGGCAGAGGAGCCCCTGCAGAGCAAAGCCCCCACCCCAAGGAACGGCACTGGGCCGGGGGGTCCCATTCCCATGGAAAGCATAGGGCTCTTTTGGTTATACAAGACGAAACCACAGGGATATAAATGTCGCTGCCTCTTTGAGAGCATTAATGAAAATAAACCCATTTAATAGTTTGCAGATGCCGTTTCTGTAAACCTAAAAAAAGCAGGGAATAAATATTTCTTCACTAAATATCTATATGTATATATATATTTGAAAACATGCGTTCCTAATCTTTGGGCCCCTCCCTCGCCACGCTCTTGGCTGCTTAAGGCAGAGCATCACTCAGCATCACAGCCTCACCGAGAGGGAAATCAGGGATCGTGGTCATGTCATCTGAGCTCTCTCCCTTTTCTATCTGTACATTGCAATGGCTTGTTACAAGATCCACAGTCGACTTTTGATTATTATTATTTTTTTTTGCATGTCTGTATTTTTTTGGAATTTTTTTGTAAAGGTTTTTTTGGTTTTGTTTTGGTTTGTTTTTTTTTTGTTTTGTAAAAAACAACTCTTGTGAAATAATGGAGGAATAAATATTTTACTGAGTAGAGATGTGTCTGTGCATGCAGAGCAGTGCTCACACCGTTGGGGAGGGGGGGTAACGTTGGGGTCCCAGGGGGGCAGGGAAACTCGGTCCCACATCCCAGCCCTACTGCTGGGCACAGGGGCTGGAAGTGCTGAACCCCCACAGCCAGGAGATCCCCCCAAGCAGCGCTGGGCATCCATGCTATCAGAACATCTCCCCCAGCACTGTGGCAGTGGGCTGAGGAGGGATGGGGCCAGGGCCAGAGCTCCTCACTGCTAAGTTGTCAGGTTCCATCCCGCAGCACAAATACGGGTGAAAGCCTTTGAGCACTCAGTAGTGCTCAGTCATGGGCAAGCATCTGCTGCAGAAGTCCTGCTGGGATGTGCAATCATCTGCAGTCACAGCAGAGACCAGCATGTGGCCCAGCCTTGAGAACCAGGCAGGAGATACAGAAAGGAGATGTAGACGTGCTCAGAGGAGGTGGTCTCTCACGGCACACTGCGCTCAGAGCATGGACTCAGCGAGGGCTGAGCATCGCCAGTGCCAGGAGCTCACATCAGCACCAAGTGCAGCTCTTCCAGGCTCCATCCTTTGCACCGAGGTGGGCAGCACCACAGTGAGTCAGGTTCTGCAGCCTGCTAGCTAACATGGACCAGAAGGGCAGGAACATAGGAATGAGCCACATAGGAATGAGCTGCAGGATCTGAGCTACGAAGTGGCAGGAAAAATGCAAGAGGCGCTTATGGAACCTGATGCTATTGCACAGGAGCATCAGGTTAACAGAGATCAAAATGAGCAAACAAGTGTTAGGAGTGCCCAGGAAAGGGTTAGAAAGTGTCCTCACAGCTGTTATAGAAAGCCACAGCACAGCTATGGCCTGAAATCCATCACCTCAAGATGCTGCAGCCGTCAAAGGTGTAAAATGGATTTGGAGAGGGCCAAGAAGTTAATGGTGGGTGGGACTGTGGCAGCAAAATATGGCCCAGATCCAACTGCAGAAGACTCTTTGAGGTGAAGATCTTACTGCTGCTCCCAGGGCAGATTCTCTGTTGACTCATGACTATTTGCTGCTAGAAATATGTCATTTATTTCTTGCCTGTGCCATCCCAGCTCCACTTCAGCTCCTGTTAGAGCAGGAGGCCCCAACCCATGGTCTGAGGACTCCTGAGAGACAGGAGCAGGGAGAACCACAGCCCGACTCCCTGCAATGAGACACCCAGGGTCAGAGCTGAACAGAGCTGTGAGCACCTGGTGGAGCTGTGGGTGTCCCTGTTCACTGCAGGGAGCTGAACCAGAAGACCTTTAAGTGTCCCTTCCGACTCAGTAGATCACAGGGATGGATTTGCCACCTCTCCATCATCCAGCACAGACTCACTTCTCCTCCTTCTGCTTTCTGGTCTCCATCCACAAACCATTGCTTTCGTTGGAAGGCTGCAAGAACGTTGGTTGCAGATTGCATTTACTCCCCTCCAGCAGCTGCTTTGCATCCAGCTGACTCCCAGATGAGCTCTCAGCTGATGAAGGACCTCTCTCCCTTTGTCCCAGATCCTGCAGCCCTGTACTGCCTGAGTTTTCCCTACTGACCAAAAAAAGCCAGGTATCCCAGCCAGGTTACCCACAGCTTCTTTCCAAACCCCCCCAAAAAACCACCCCACGGCTTCCCCGTCCCCAGGTCGGAGCCGCCCAGACCCCAAACCCCCGCCGTCCCCCCGGCACAGCGCTGTCCCCGGGCTGTGCGTCCCACGGCCACACGGGGGCGCTGCGGCTCCGCGTTGCTCAGCGCTGTCCCCAGGCTGGACGCGGGGCCGGGGACGCGGTTGGTGCCGCCGGCATTCCTGCACCCATGGGGCGGCGTGTCGTGGGTCTGGCTGCAAGACGCAAGAACAGCATTTCCTCAAGGGGATTTGCATGGCGAAGCCCCACTGTGAGGAGGAGTAAGAGCAGAGCCTGAGGTTAGGGGTGACCTGGGCTGAGGTGTCCGGAAGGTGCAGGAGGGGCAGGGATGTGTCGCTGGGTCCGCACTTGCTTCCCCCATCCCACCTTCAGATTCCTCGGGCTCGGTGACGTTGGAGAGGAAGACACGCTGGCGGAGTGAATCACACCCAAATCTTTAAGCACCGAACTTGGCAGACGTGCGATCCCAGGTGGGTTTTGCTGCATTACCGTTTCAGCTGTAAGCCAGGTGTGAGAAACAAATGGTTGGCACAGCTCAAGCACTCGTGGGTACAGCCACCAGTGCCTCCCTCCGAGAGCTGCAGGGGACACTGGGGACACCGTCCTGCTTCGGGGGACAGCAGCTTGACATGCCCTTGGGAATAAAGCAGGGCACAAGGCTGTTCCTCATGTTGATGCACCGCAGCGATGCAGTCCCAGCTCCAGTTCTGGCCATGCGGGGACGAGTTGGGCTCCATCCACACTCCCATCAGCTCCCAGCATTTCAAAATAGGCTCAGTGGCTGTGCCTCTTTGAAATTTGCCTCGTGGGCCTTTTCTATTTGTTTTTTTGAAGGCATTAGAGTTCACATTCCCAAGCTTTTCCCCCTGCAGCCAGTACAGCAGGGTTTATTTTTTTTTAATAAAGAAAGAAGTAAGCAGAGCTCTGCAAATAACCTCAGCTTCCCTGAGCAGGGCATCACCCCCAGGCGTTGGATAGGGGTTAGAGGGGGCTCTTAGATTTTCCTTCCCACCCCAAAGCCCCGGTCCCCACAGCTACATCCCTACACACAGCAGCACGTACTGGATGGAGTCCATCTTATAAAGCACCGCCTTTCTTACTGGAAAACAAGAAGTAGTGAGGGAAAAAAAAATCTGTCACGTGGGACCATTTTGTCCATCTCAGCCATTAATGCGGATGCAGACACAGAAAGGCAGCACCTCCCAAACACCAACAGCTGAAGAAAATAGGAGGAAACCAAGGAAGCAAGGTGTTGGCTTCCTAGAGAAGGAAGGGACTGCTGAGCATGGAAAACACAGACAGCTCCTTTGGAAGCTGTAAGAGAGCAACCACACCTTAGCTGAACAGCTTCAGCCCTCCAGGATTTAAGCTTCTCCATTGGGAAGAAGTGCAGGCAGGGCACAGAGACAGCTTGCTTGGAAAAAGCATCTTATAGCAAAAGCCTGCTTGGAGGAGAGCTGGGCACACACCAAACTTTGGGCTGCTCAAGGCAGGAGAACCAAGCATGGCTGCACTACGAGCCCCAGCTTCTCTGCATTTAAAGGATTGGCCCTGATAATGCCAAGAGCTGCAGGTGGGCTGGGGGAAGGGTGCTCAGCTCTCCAGAAGCCCCAGGACGCTCCTGGCCCTGCGAGGCTCAGCGTTCCCTGCAGCTGGACCCGGCCCCAGCTGCTGCCCAGCTGCATCGGCAGCTCTCAAGGAAGGATGTAGCAGAGCACAATGATTTGTTTTTATTGGGAATACTTGCTTCCTGCCACTAGGATGCATATGCAGCAGGAGGGAAACGTGCAGGGGTTTGGAGACCTTGTGCACCGTGTGAGGCAGCATGGGCTCACTGAAAGGGGTATTATGAAGACATCTGCTAAGCTGGGGCTGTGTGAGCAAGAGGGGACCAAGAGCAAACTGTGGGACCTGCAGCCCTCCTGCTGCACCCAGGAGAGCAGAGTGCTGTGCTCCAAATCTCCCAAAGAACTCAGCCCAAGGCCATGGCCACTGCTGGGCTGGGAGCCCTCTGTGAGCTGGGTGAAGCTCTGAGAATCTACCTGAGCTGCCCTGCTTCCCATTGATACTCAGTGGGGTCTTGGTGAGAGGATCCCAGAGGAGAGCACAGCAAAGGGAAGAGCTTTAGTGCTTAAGACAGGATTTTATTTTCTGCTCACTCTGCTTTCTCACTGCAATCTTAGCAAAGCTTTGCATTGTCCTCAGAGCCTTCCTCCTGCCCTGCCCTCCATGAGGCTGCCCCAGCATCATCCCTAAGGACAGCTGTGTGGCACAGTAGGGTTGGCCATCCTCACGCAGCACAGAAGAACAGCAGAGCCCTCCTCCCAGGGCACAGCTTGGGGTGCAAATTGAAAGCATCTCTCAGAGCATTTCCAGGCAGCGGCAGCACATGGCTGCAGGCACACAGCTCTCTGCAGGGCAGTGATTTCTGCGGGCTGCTCTGGCAGTCCCTGCTGCATCCCGTGTTGAGGCTGGGACCGGATCAAAAGCTTGTCTCCCTCCCTGCAAACACCCACATCCACCAACCAAGAGTTCTTGCAGAGCTGTGAGACCGTGGTGGTTTTTCCCTCCTGATTCTGCTGCTGATCAAGGGCAGCATTCCCCATCCCATGCTGGGTCAGAAAATGTCTTTTCCTCTGATGACACCCCTTCCTCGAGGACAGGAATGAGGGAAAGCTGCTAGGCATCCCCTGCCCACTTCCCCTGCCCCAATTTCAACAGCAGGCCCAGTGACCTTACCGAGGCCACCCCACACATCCCTGCAGCACCCACTCACGCCCCCACCAGGAACGTCTCAGTACTGGCACAGCTGAACAGAGCAGAATGGGGGCTTGGGTGCTCTGCTCGGTTGGGTGCTACCAATACGGGGCAGCTGCCAGGAGGATCTGCAGGGCCATGGAGAAGCAGGGCAGCTGTGCCACGCTGTATGCCACGGATCGTGTGGGAGCCCTCAGCTTCAGCAGGTAGGCCACGGTGTGCATGATGCGTCCCGCACAGAAGATGAAGAAGTGGATCCTGGCCACTGCAGGACTGGGCTCCAGCAGAGAGTACACAGCTCCGAGGAAGAGGAAGGGGAAGATGTTCTCCATGTCGTTGCGATGTGCCCTGTGAAGAGAAACAGGTTGCTCCTTCCCACCTGGCTTCCAGCCTGCTGATGGGGTGAGCGTAGCTCCCGAAGGGCTCCGAGCCCCCCTGCATGCGAGTGGGGCCAGACTTGGGAAATGAAAGATGAGCTGTGCTGTGAGACCCTTCTCCTCCATCTGTGCAAGGCTCCACACAGCCCCCAGCCCCCTGATACCTCCCGTTCACGCACCGACCTTGAGGGTGATTTGCCCTCTCCATGGCTGCAAACACATTAGCAAGGTCTGAGCTGGCATGTGCTCATTGCACAAACCCCAGACTTCTGAACACCGCCGCCACTGCAGCTCTGGTTATTTATTTTTATGGAAGCTGGTCCTTTCTGACTCATCGAAAGAGGGTGATCATTATTATCACTACTATTTTATTTTTCTTAGCAAAGGAACAGCTCATCTATCTCCTCCTCCTCTCCCTGGCAGCCTGTGGCTTGGTGCTATCGGATGTTTGGTGAAGCAGAGCTGGCAGCAGGGCTCAGCACGGCTCCAGCCTCCCTTCCTGTGCAGAACCAGCCCATGCAGTGCCTGGGCCAATGCCCTGCCACCTCCTGCAGGGAACTGAAGGCAAGCACAGAGCTGGGTCACCCCGAATTCAACACTGAGGACTCAGTCTCATTGCACCCATTGACCCCCAAACCCCAATCCTTCCACACACAGCGCGCTTCCATTAATGATTGAGCTGCCCTGGTTCACGGGGTCCTGCCTCGGACCTCAGGGCATTCCACCTAGCTGTGCAATTAGCTAATTAATGAGCCTTCCAGCTTCCTGCTGCCCTTTTGGGGCGGGATGCTGGCTCTGTACTCGCCTGCGGCAGCGCTCCACATCAGGGTCCTCACGGTAGTACTGCAGCCCTCCATTGCGCAGCGCATCCTCTGGGTTAGCAAACGCCTGCAAAAGAGTGTCCCCATGCAGGACTGTCAAGGATGCAGCTCCTGATATCTCTGGGAGGGCTCTAGGGGTTATTTTCATGCAGTTTTCAAAAGGGGAGGTTAAAAAAAAAAAAAAGAATGGAGCAGGAAAAAAGTAATGAATGGAGCAGATCTCAGTACATCAGGTATCTCCCGGGTGCCTTCGGCGCAGGCGTTTCTCTCCATGAAATCCATTGGGAGACTTTGCCAGCCTCCTGCACAGAGCTTGCAGACACCAAAGGCAGCAGCCAAAAGATAACAGCAAATGATGGATGGCTTTGCCCTACTGAGGCAGAAAATCCCCTGGCTGGCTCCTTGGCACTACTGCTTTCCCTGGGAAGAATGGGATCCACATCCCCAGCTCCAGCGACGCCACAATGCAGAACCCGCTTCTGCCTTTGGCCTGGGAGCAGAACCATCTCCCTCCCTCTCTGCTGGTGCATTCAGAAACGCCTCAAATACTTCCAGGTTTTTTTCTGCAGGGCTGAGCTGTGCCTCAATCCCTGCTGCTGTCCCCACGTCCAAGAGCCATTTCCTCCAGCTATTGTTTCTGCTCCCTGTGACTTCGCTCTCCTGCAGCACAGAAGCCTGCTGCCACATTGCAAGAATTTTTCTGGCATTTCAATCATTTGTCCTTAAACTTTTCTCTTTCTTTTCTCTCAGACATGGCAAATGAATGTAAACAGAGCAGCAGCTCACCTGCATGGTATTTTGCATCTGAAATTACTATTTAGATTAGGATTCAGAAATGATAAACATCAGGCTGCAGATGGTGGAAGCAAACAGAAAGAGCCAAAGAGAAGCGAGATGGCTATCTGCCACAGCTAGAAAACCTGTTTTGCTTTCAACTGAAGTCAAAGAAAACTCAGCTTGCTTCTGCAAAACCCTGTTGGCTTTTGCAGGACGAAAAGAAGAAAGGGTTTGTAGTAAATCCACGCAGAAACCCCAGCAAAAGGCAGGAGGGGCGAGGGAGGGAAAGGAAGCTGGGACGTACCTTCTTCCTGAGCCTCACTTGTCCCGTGATGATGGCAACGACATACATCTTTAGAATCAGGATCGTGCTGTAGAAGGTGAATGACAGGAACACGGTGTTCCCCATCATTGTGGGAGCTCCTGCCTTGGCCCTGCAGAGGGGGACAGGAAGGCAATGCTTCAGCCCCCAGCCCCCAGCCCCACTGCCCCCACAGGGTCATCCACCAGCGAAACAGAGTTGAACTACTGGCAAGTGGTACCCGGACCCCACCGTGTGCCTTGGATGCTCTGAGCTGGGATCCAGCTCCTTCGATACATCAGCCTGTCCTACAACACCCCACAGATCTCCCCTTCTGCTCATGCCCAGAGCTGCACAGAGCATTCCTTGCTCATCGGCAGCCCCAGGGAGGAGGAGACGGGAGAAAGAAGGTACCTACCTCTGCTGCACCCAGCCCAGCTCCGTCCCAGTCCCACAGCCCTGCGTGGCAGTGCTCCCAGTCCCGCCCCACAAGGACTGAGCACTTTGCACAGGCAGCCAGCCCTCCCCTCGGCACCACCTGCCAAGGGGACAGGGACAGACCTGGCCCTCTTTCCAGCTACCCACATTGCCCACCAGACTGGATTGTCCTTGGGAGGTCCCAAAGCCACAGAGGATCCCAAAACCCAAAAGGAGAACCCCAAAGCCCCCAACCTGCAGAGGGAAATACAGACCAACCCGTCCCTGGGGCAGCTCCGCTTGCTTTTCTCCCAAAACGCGAATCAGGGGAGCTGGGTGCAGGCTGATTCTAGCCTAAAAAGGGGCATCTGAGTTTGGAGCTGGATTTCCCAGCCATCAGAAGGGAAGAGTGAGAGGATCTACGCCTGCAAGGAGGGTCGGAGCTTGGCTGCTCCTGCACTGCAAACCTTTAACTCCTCCTTCCCTTGCGCGGCCCCAGCGCTGGCAGAGAGCTCTCTGAGCTTACAAGGGCTGGACTGGGGACTCAGTTCCTTTACGCACACAAAAAGATCTATTTCAAGCAAATGGATACTTTCAGACATCGACTGGAAAATGAATATTCTGGGTATGTGAGTAGTTCTTTCTGGTTTGGACTAAAATAGTTGTTTCCAGCCACAAAATAAGCCCATGAGCAGAGTAGGATGGTTTGCTCCTTGCAAAAGAATCCATCGAAGCATTGCTACCTGTAGGACTGACTTTGTTCTGCAGTGCTTTTTAACTGCCAAATGAGCACACTTTGCTCCAAGAGAAACCAGAGCAATGAGCAGGAATGTCACGGCCCAGGATCGTGCTCAGGTCCTGCTGCACAAGGACAGCTGTCCCAGCAATGCAACAGCGGTGGCACCCCCTGGACAGAGCAGACACCAGCAGCCTTCTCTCTGTATCTGCCTCTGCACCTCCCCAGGGATCAGCACACCTTGCTGAGCAGCAGGAATTATGCACAAGCTCAGTACCAGCTGCTGACAAGCCAGGACTTCTCTTGTTTGCTCCAGCAGCAAACGGGGAGATGGAGAACGTTGGGTTGTCCGGATGTGAGCCTAGGAGCAGCCCCAGCCCCACGTGCATCGGATGTGCTGGGTGTACAGCCCTGCAGAGGGGCGGGCACAGCACCCACCTGGATAGGAATGAGGGGGCAGAGCAGCACAGAGGGCAGACGTGGTGCTGCTGGGGTGCCTCACGTTGAGGGGCCTCGTGCTGTTGGACATGTCCATGGCAGGGCGGCACCTTCTGGCCTGCGGCAGTGCAGCTTCCAGGACCGTGTTCAGCTGCCCCATTAATTGGGGCAGAAGGCAGCTGCTGATCCTCCTACACGGAGCACATCCTGCTAGGATGGAGCTGTTGCCTGAACAAGAGCAGGTCCTGAGGGCAACATAACGCAGCTGTGCCACAAAGCCTCGAGCACATGAGGTCGCAGCCCAAGGACCTGCCCTGTGCCAATGCTGCTGGTGGAAAGCACTGCGTTCTGCGGGTGAACGGTTAACAGGAGTCAGGGTTGGGCTCTGAAAGGGTTGAAGATGCACCATCAGGTCAGAATGATCCCAGGAGCTGTGGGAAGGTGGAGGGTTTCGTTGGAGGAGGAACGAGGAGCAGGAAGAAGGAAAGAAAAATTCATGGGAAGTGCCTGAGAGAAGTGCTTAAAAATAGAAGCCTTTAATAACAACCCTTCTTTAGGTTCTTTAGAAGGGATAAAAGCTGCTCTCATTTCCCACACAGGGAACTGTTTATTTGAGCAGCTGAGTTACACCACAGCATTATAACTGTGTTTTTCCAGCACTGCTGTGCTGGGTCATTTCCTGGTGGCACCTAAAAGTGAGAGGGCTGCTTGTGTCAGAAATCCTTCCCACTGGGGCACAGATGTGTGTGGCACGGTGGCACGGCTGTGACTGCAGAGGGCATTTCTCATTGCCCAAATGGACAATTCCCCATTTTGCTGCCTGGTAGAGGAAGATTTTGTTTTCCCTTAGGCTGCAGCTCAGCCCATGACTGCAGAAGGCCCCCAGCTATACTCCTGCCCATTCAGTGCCCTCCTTCCCCACTGTCTCCCACGTCTCCCGTCACACAGTTTGCAGGCATGCCCTGCCCCAGCCATCACTTGCCCTTTGCTGTGCAAGGGAAATCCGGCAGCCCACGGGAGATTGCTCCTGCTCCAATGCAACCACAGCTTCAAGTAAAGGCATGAGTCAGCTTAGATATTCCTTAATTAAAGAGAAAGGTGCTCCACCTGCCCTTCTCCCTCAGCCCGCATGAAAGGTCACATCAGGAAAGAGGTGATTAGCCCGACTCATGATGCACCCCGTGCTCCACATGAGGGTGAAATCCCCTTGCTTCACATGCAGCTCCCTGTTCCCCAGCTCCTGGGGTCTTCACTGCAGCGTGAAGCATGGGAGGAGATATGGCAAAGTGCCTCAAAGCCTAAAACAAACAGGCAAGATCCAAATTCTTCAAACTCCAGGAGATTTTGTCTGTGGTGCACTGCAAAGCATCTTCCCTGCAGCTGTACTGGCAGAAGCTACGCACATTCCTCGTGTCTGAGGCCTCTCAATGGGACTCTCCCAAAGACCAGATGCTGGCAGCGGCAGAGAGGCCTGGGGAAGGGATGCAGCATCTCTGGTCTGGGACACAGCAGGAGCAGAGGATGCTGCTGTTCCTTGGGCAGCCCCAGCTCCATCCATCTGCTGCCCTGCTCCCAGCCACCACAACTGCGGGGCTGTCACTGTCCCTTGCTGGTGGGACAGCAAGGAAGGGCTGCTGGAAAAGCAGCCAAGAGGCTGTGAGCATGTGGGAGGCAGATCAGATTTTCTTGTTCTGAGCCTCACATGGATTCACGCCTGAGCTGTCTCTTAGAGGGAAGAATTCCTTGGCGAGGCTGCAGAGATATAGCCCAGCTGGGAGGGATGCTCTTTTCCACTCCATTCCACCCAGCAGTCCAAACAGGCTCCAGGCAGACCTGCACCTGCAGCTGCCATGGGGCCATGGTGGGAGCTGGGGACAGGGCTAGGTGTGTGGGAAGCCAGCATCTCTCACTTTATCCCACTGCAGCAACTTGCATCGTGTTTCTTCCCCTGAATCAGATGCCAATAAACAACAGGCAAACACCACTTATGTCACTGACCAAAAAGAGGGGCTTTCCCAGCCAGGCTGGGGGGGGGAGAGGGGGGGAAGAGAAATAAGTCCTACTGCCAAACACTCCAAAATCGGGAAGCATTTCCTAGACTCGAAGCAAGCATTTGCAAACATATGAAGTAACTACAGTTGCCATGGGGGGATTCTCTTGAGCAAGATCAAAGGTGAAGGGTTCTGCACAGCCCTGCCTCCACACACTGCATGACAAAGGAAGGGGAACTGGGGCACACTTTGGCTCCCCATGACGCTCTCCAAAAGGCAGACCTCATTTTCAAAGCCTTGAGTTCTTTGTCCCCTCCATCACTCCTAGACTAAACAGCACTAATCCCTCCCACCTCTCCCTATAGGTCATGTTTTCTAAATCTCTTTATCACCGATGCTGATCTCACTTCTCAGAGCAAGGCATTGGGCAGCCTTTTTGCAGCAACCCTGAGCAAAGACATTTGAGCTCCCAGCTCCTCAACTTTTACCTCCATCAGTCTTTCAGCTTGCTTGCTAAGAACCCAGGGTGCCTGACTCAGACCAGTAAGAGCTTCTTGGTGGTTTGAGGTTTTTTCCACAGTTTGGATGAAGTCAGCCTGTGCGCAATATTCCAGATTTTGAAACTTTCCCTTTCTTTTCCTGGGCTGGTGGCACGGTGTGTCATTCAGTCTCCTGTTGGCAGCATCATGTTTGCATCTCAGCAACCAGGAGAAAGGTGGTCCAGATCCTGAATGCTGACGTTTATCAGTAAATACCTCTCATGTATGATGCAAAGAGCATCCTCGCTGCAATCAGCCTGGAAAGCAGGGAGTCCTTTAGCTGTGTTGTTTACAGCCCTCGCTGCCTGGGAGCTCTTCTTGTGCACTCACAGCTCAAGACCCAGGAGTCACATCTTAAGTGCTGGAGCAGGAGATAAGGAGAAAGGAATGTAGCTCACAGGCTGCTTTCTGGACATTGCAGCAAGGATCGCACGCCCTGTGCAGCACAGCATGTGGGATTTACGAAGCAATCAAAAACCACAGTGAGGAAAGAGAAAGGGATGTAGGACCACACAATCCAGACTAATATTCCATCTTTAACAAGAGCAGAACGTGGTGTGAATGATGCAGTGAAGCAGAGAAACCCTTGCAAGCAACAACTTGAGCATGGAGTCCAGCACTTGGACTTACTGTCCTGGCTTCTCTCTCCATGCAAACCACCAGCAGCACCAGCAACCCATCCAGGTCCCGAGCTTTGATGGCTCCCCTGACCTGCAGGCTCTGCCCCCATGGCCATGACGTGTGCTCAGAGGTCTGCCCCAAGCTGTGTTTATGGAACCATGACTGCTTTACGCAGCCTTCCACGAGGAGGTATGCTCTCCATACAAATATTTACAAAACAGCAGAAGGCATCTTTCTAGCACAGACATTTCTACTGATGGTGCCATCAACATGGCTAAAAATGAACAAGAAGAGCTCACCCATTAGATGGGAACCGGTTGGGAAGAAGTCATGGGAAGCGAGAAGAGATGGGAGCTGTGGGATGGAGGCCAGAGCTGTCCCACGAGGAGAGTAAGGCAATGAAAGGGACAGGAGTGTGCTGGTTTGTGCTGGGAGGGGGCTGCTGCTCTCCAACAAGAGCACGGAGGTGCCCAGCCATACCAGCCCTGGTGTCCATCACCATTCCAAGGCCCCACAGCCCCTGTAGGGAGAGCAGGGAGCAGCAAACTGACCTCATACACACCCTGATTCATTGACCTTTCAGAACCTGAGGATTAATTTAAGCTCTGAATCACTAGGTTTAATTCTCTTTCCCGGGTTGCTGTCATAGCTGACGGTAGCGCTCAATAATTATACGCGTCGATTCACTTTCCAAACTGTTGAAACTAAATTACTTCCTGGGACGATGATTCCCACAATAAAACACAGTTTAAGTGAAGATGATGACGATAATCTGTTCATAGGATCTGCCTCCCCTCTTGTTCATGTCATGGGGAGACACGCTGGGGGTTAGGAAGAATGGCGATTATTGCTCAGCTTTGTCTAGCATACTCCT